CACCTACTAAAAGTAAAGTCCTGAAATGAGGACAGAATATTACCAGTTCAGACCGGTATTGACATTTACGTAGGTCACCATTCGAAGTGATGACATGCATGTACATGTGTCTGATTCCTGGAAAATTTAAAGTACATTATAGTGTCATGTATATTGTTTTACTTAGTGACCCAGCAAGCATTTCCTCAGCCTATTTATTAGGTATGCCATTAAATCTCCTTTAAAATTATATGCATACATAGTCCCTGCCAAGTTGAATGCCATACACTGGTAAGAGATACTTACGTATTATGCCCAGGTATGCATGTTGTCTTATCTATCATATCACAGTGTTCTCTGTATGAAATAGAATGGTTTGTCATATGAAATCTACAATGCAATTGTACACTTTCCAAACAGATTGTCAATGCTTTTAAGATAGGAGTCTAGAAATCTGTTCTGAATCTCTTACTACCTATGTAAAATGTAAATTAAACTACATGGCCGGATAGGACCACAATAATATCGTTAATAAGTCCTTATTACATTTAATTGTGTGGTGATTAATGCCATGACATTTTGCCTTCCACAATTCACATTTTCACCAGTGCTATCTGACAACTGCCCCTACCATTCCAATAAAAATCACTTCAGTAATAGCTTTCTACTAGTTAATTCCTACTGATATTTTCCACTCTATTCCAGGCCAGATCATACATATTTGAAAACTGTGCAGCATTTGATGCCCTAGTCTAGCCCAGATCATTTTTGCTTGAATTATTTGATCTCACTTTGTTCCATATGTCTTCTTACCTCTTAAGTCACTTAATCTCTCACTTGAGCTTCCTTTTGCTGTTCCTGGCATTCTGCTCTTTCTGTGTCTTGACGTTCTCTTGAAGAGCTCATTATTCTGCGGTTTCTGTTGTACACCTACGACTGATCATCATTGCTTCTCCATGGGTAACTTCTCTGAATGCTGGACCCAGATATCCCCATCTCCTCCACTTTGTTCAACAGAGTTCTCAAATGGATTTGTTACAAACTGACCTCATCACTCACTACTCCCAATCAGCAACCCCCTTCCCATCTCCCACAGAGAGTATACTGCTCTCCACTTTGTTATCCAAGCGAGATGTCACCCCCTTCTCTGAACGCTGAATGTGTTCTACTGATCCCATCTCATCACCCCTGTGCTGTGCTTTTCTTACCTCCATATTGCAATTCCTTGAGCTTTCATATTTGCTTAAACATTCTCGAAGTCAGATCTCTCATCAACTGACTTGTAAGGAAACCTCGCTTATTTCCAGTATGCGCTTCCAAATTCTTGAAGCCAGTTTGGCCAGGTAATGGGCATGTCTGTAAAATGCTCTAGTTTTTACATGTCTGTCTAAGTCAGGGTTTTCTGTTTATATTTTCTGTGGCATGCCATGTTCTCAGTTTACATTCTGTATGTTTTCTGTGCCTTTTAGCAGAGCAGGGTGCACTTTTCGTTTTCAAATAGAAATTAATAAAATGCCATGAAACTTCAGGTATCACATAGACCCAGCACCAAAGGTACAGGAACATTGATTCTCCGTGTGGGCCGTTCGCACATGAGCTACCATGTCTTTCGGAGTTGAATTCCGTCGAAAAGTATGGTTCATCTGTGGTGTGCTTTCCTGTTCATGTAAGAATATGGCAGTAAGATGGAAACGGTTTGCTGAGGTCTAAGGCCTCCTCATGGCCTTTCTTCTATCCTGGGTCAAATATCAGTGTCTGCCTTGATCTCTTTGTGATCTAAATATCCAGATAAAACCATCCACAATTCTATGCCTATGTGGGCACAAAGAAATTATTGTGAACATCTCCTTAAAATAAAGAATTCTGTGTCTGTGTATGTTTTAAAAGTCAAATTAAACTTCTCTTCATAAACTTCAGTTGATTCAATGATGAGGACATGGTTCCAAACATGGGTAGAAGACCATTTTTATGGCAGCACTGAGAAAATACTTTCTGAATATTCAGATATAAAGAGGTTAATTATGAGAGCTAAGTGGTACAACATAAGCAAACAATTTTCCCAAATTCCATTAAAACGAAAACTATACATTAGTTATTGTCAATAAGACATCACGGCCACAACATATGATTTATTAGACAGTATTATGCTGCCCAAAAGACAAAACAGTAAAATCACACTGAAGACAGTTGACTCAGAATGAGGAATACATTTACCAAAAAGTAGTAATTTTAATATATGCAAGAAGTTTGAAAATGATATTTAATTGTCAGTTATAACTGGAAAGATTAAAATGTATTAATTTGATACAGCTTTTAAAAGATGAATTAGCATTTCCCACCTTGATATTTTCTCTGAGCGTGAACATTTAAATAGTATATGGCGATATGCCAATTCCAAGAAGTTCTTTAAAATATATCTCCAGGAAACTTGTTCAGTGTATTTCTTTAAAACACATTTCCATGATGGGAAAGCCACCTAACTGTGTATCACTACACAGAATTCCCTAACAATTTAATGGGATATTTATTTTTGAAGTGGATTTTTTTTCCAGTATGACTGTGAGATATGCAATATATTAATCCAGCACCAAGTAAAATTCTCTGAAATGATAGGTTGATTATCTAGTGGAATCACGTGTCTCACACATTTGCTAAAACCTAGTTGACATTAGCCAAACAAAAATGTTCCTTCTCTGAAATTTAATGTCAGGATTATTTTATTTTAATTACAATTGACATTCTCCCATAATCCCAGCACTATGGGAAGCTGAGACAGGAAGTTATCTTGCGACCAGCAGTTTGAGACCTGCCTGGGCAACATAGGCCACTATTTCAACAAAAAATGAAATAAAGAATTAGCAGGCATGGTGATATTCACCTGTAGCCCGAGCTACTCAGAAGGCTTGAGCCCAGGATTTTGAGGCTGCGGTGAGCCCTTATCGTGTCACTGCAGTCCAGCCTGGGCAACAGAATGAGACTCTGTCTCTTAAAAAATTAGTATTTTTCTAACTGAACTCAATAAGCATTGATGAACGTAAAAGTATTATTTCTTCATTTAAAATAGACATTCAGAATTTAAACCAGTATATGCCACTCTGGATGTTTTGATATTCTCTAATGTGTTCTAAATATGTTATGTTCACAATTATACCAAAGTAACTAATATTGGTAAATTAGTCATATTTGTAATAAGATACTTTTTAAGTCATTATTTTCAGTTTTTTTTTCTTTTTTTCTTTTTTTTGTCTAGAACTAGTCTTAAAAGAGAAAGGATTGAAAGAATGCCACTTAACTGTAGAATGCTTCAGGAAAATAAAATCTCTCTTCAATTAAATCCTTTGAAATAATCTATGCATAGCACTTTCCAAGCCAAGGCATGGGTTGTTTCATTGCATCTTATGCTGTGACAAAGTCCTATAATTAGCACATTGATGTAATTTACCACTGTTTCATTAAAGCTGATTGCCTAACTATTTGGGAAGTTAACATGGCTACTTGAGTACTTGACCTGCCCTTTTTTTTCTATGCTACAGCTGTTAGTAGGAAGTGAGCAAAGGCATTCATTGCTGACAGTCGTAGAAATCATCCTGGTAAAGGTTATACAAGACAAAGATGGAGTTTCACTCTGTGCATCCTCAGACCTTTCCATTTTTAATTGGTTTGGTTTTCTGATGAGACCTCAAATGACAGAACAAATATTTGACAGCTAAATTTTTACCAATTTAAAAAGTGAACTCATATTTATTTAACTTACATTGTTAATCATTTATCTTTTGAAAGTCTGATTTTTAAAAGTGTAATGCATTAAAGCAGTGTGTCCTTGAATTTAAGAGAGTCTACAAGTTGTGCAGAAATGGTGAAATCCATTTAAACGGCTTGAGGTAGGGATAAGAGGTAAATAATAGTTTATTTTAAAAAGTAGATTAAGCACAGTCATGTTGTCAAGAGTAACCCTCTTCTGTGTCTTTGGCCACCAGTGAAGAGCTGTGTACAATTATATATTTTACTCTTTAGCAACCCACCCCCAGCTATAGGACATGACAGATCAGTCAGCAGGGTACTCTCAAGTTAGGGTAGTAGGATGATCAGAGAAAAATCCAGACTTGAATAGGAGCACCAGTACCATAAACCCTTATAAAAGCAGTGCTTCAGATCAAGTGGGAAATATATAGAGGTTCCCTACTACATGCAGTCTTCCGATAGCTTTAATACCGAAGTAGTCGCTAACACCCTTGTCTGAAAAGAGCATTTAGAAAAGAACAACACACACACACACACACACACACACACACAAAACTTGTTGAAAATTCTGCATAAGCAATTTACATCCTGACAGAAGAAGGATGGAGTTTATTCTCTTTCATAATCCTCTGTTACACGCTTGCAATATGCTGCACATTAAGTAACAGGTTTTTGTTGCTAAAATTAAAGTGGTTTTCTATAGGAGACACCTTAGGTAAAATTGTCAATGGAGACCAAGTTTATTTCCATTATTTTTAATTATTTGCACAGGACATAAATTTGAAAATAAACTTCTTGCATTTAGTTGTAGAGACTTTTTTATTTGAATATTTCATCCTTCCTAGAAGTTTCTGGGGTTGATGGGACCTTCATCCTGGGCCCTCTGTCCCTTAAATTATTCTTAGTATGATGCACCTCCCTGTAGCCCTCCCACCATCCCCAAAAAAAGAGTCAGAGGAGAAATGGAAACCTTAGTAATCTTAGTATTTCCATCTCTATATTCCTAGAAATTTCAATGTTTAGGAATTAAAGGAAAAGACAGGAGGGAATGTGTTTTGGAGCAGGAGACAGGAACGGTAAGAAATGCACAAGATGTCACTAAACAGTCATAGTAAAAATAGTATTAATAATTATTATTATAGACGTTTAGAAAAAGAAAAATAACACCCCAAACAGTAATCAAACCCCAACATCATGTACTATGGTGTATCAATTAAAATGAATGGGAATTACATGCAAATGCCTCAAATAAGATACCTCAAATAAGAAATGTAGAATACCTTTCCACTGATGATTTTTAGTTGTCAGGGCAAGTGAGACCCAAACAGCAGACAGAATGGTCCCAGCATGCTTGTTGCCTTTTTTTGTTTGCACAGTGGCTGTCAGTTCCAGCCTTACAGGTAGTGGAACCCAGCCGGAAGAAGGGGCGGGACCCAGCATTGCAGCCTGAACTGAGAGCAAATTTAAATTACTGAGCCTTTTTTTTCCTTTTTTTATTTTTCTACTCTGCGACAAACTGAAAAGATTCCAGCACGCTAATTTAACCACCCTGCTTCTTCTTTGCCTTTTTTTTTTTTTTTTTGATTTTTTTTTTTTTTTCTCCCTGCTTCTAGGATAATTAAAAGAGAAACCTGTAAAAGGCAACATTCCTGTGAGCGAGTTGGTGCTGCAACGTGCTGGTAAGAAAACGAGTTTAATTTTTTTCATCTTTTTTTTTTTTTTTTTTTTTTTTTTTTTTTTTTTTTTTAAAGAGCTGAAGGCTTTGTCTGTCTAATGCAGTCATAAGCGTGGCTTCCCTGCCGTGAGGGGTTAGCATGTAATGAAAAGGTGTAATAGCCTGATGTACGACCTTCGTGTCATACTTCTAATGGTTAATAACAGCATTCCTGTCTACCCCGATGATGCTTCTCTCTGCAAAGGGACTATTTGCCCAGTTGCAACAGGGCTAAGATTGTCGCACTATGACAATGAGTTGTTGGTTGATTGGAGTTGCGGTGTCCTGTCAGAAAGATTTCTTGACTTTCTCCAAGTTATTCCCTTCCAGGGATGTTACGGGTTTTAATAGGTACCTTGCAGACCATAAGGGGTTTGCTGTTTACTCATCAAACAGGAAGTGCAATGATGAAACTTTTTTTTTAAGGATCGCTAATTGTCCTAGACTTCCTTAGTTCAGATAATGAAACAGACTAAAATGAGTGCTCAGTAAAGTCATTTGAATCCCTTTCATGTGTAACTAGTCAGGAGTTCATTAGACGACCAACTAAGAAGAACCTACATCATTTGCAGACCTTGTACTTGCGATGCCAACTTTATTCTTCAAAAGGACAAATTTTAATTCAACCCAATTAAATTCAGCAAGTATTTCTGTGTATACTCTGCCTGGAACGGCTGCTGAGAATGTGCTTGCCTCTTACTCTGTGGTGGGGGAATAACTGAAATTAGATAGTGTAAATTTGCAGCAACCAGATTTTCTTACTACCTTTAGCACTGACCAGATCATTTAAGACATTTCAGAATGTGTGACTTTTGGCTATAAGATGAAGTTCTCAAGGTTACATATCCTACAATCGACGAACTTCCATTCCTTCTCTGCTTGTAACTTTTGCTCATGTGAAAAATGCAGCTCTGGCTAGTATATTTTATATCACATCTTAATATTATAAAGAAGGAAAAAACACATAGACATCTCTTTTTTTGTACACCAAACATGTCATTTGAAAATAGATCCATGTGTCAAACTTTGAGCTTATCCATATTTTAGCCTCAGAAGGAGGAAGACACATGGAGAGGTTTAGGCTTGTCAATGAGTCTGCTTGGATTTGGGTCAAGAAACTTAGGAACTACAATTTTCTCTGTTTGTTCGGTTGTTTGTTTTCTTTAAAACCACATGTGAAACAGCAAGGAATAGATTTTGCTGTCCCACCATTGTTCTTTGTAAACTGGTGTAGTTTTTATTTTTTTATTTTTTGTCTTTTGATTTTGAATAGATCACTAGAAATGTAATGGGAAAGTGGTCAAAAACAGAATGTAGTTACCGAATGTCCATTAAAACCTTTTTCTAAAAAAAAAACCAAAATCAAAAACAAAAAAACTCCTATGCATTTTGAAGGTTGTATGCCATTTGCATCTTATAGAGAAAGTGACATTCCATACGCTGGTAACATTTGGTCTCCGGTCTCTGTAGCTATTCTATCTAATTGTGTCACTCTACATTTAACAGCTCTGAACATGCCATGCCCCTGGGTCCTCACCGGTGCCCCCAGAGCTCTTGAAATGTCTAAAAAGACCTTAGAACATTACAAAGTGTCAATTGTTAGAATAATTTCTGCCTCTTCACAACAAGAGAAAATGCTGTGGATTTAATAGTTCATTTTTAAAATCTGTTCTTATCCACCAGTAACTGTCTATTAGCAACATTTCCGTTATAATTGGAATAAATTGTTGCCCAGTAACAAGCAACTAACTCCTTAGCGACTTTCCATAGAATCAGTGACTAGAAATAGCTACAAAGAGCTAAATGCAAGTCAAACCGCAGCACTTGTGTTTTTTTATTATGGGAAAAAATTCATTTCTTTATAATTTTACCATTCTATTAAATTCTCAAATTTCCAAATTGAGGTGCCTCTTCTTTGTAATTTTCTAATTGACCAAAATCCCGTACGTGGAAAATAAAGGCCAACAGATCTTTGAAAATTTTTCTTTCTGGCTTAACATAAGAAAGGATAAGCACAACCTCTCAGACTATGAGTGTTAACAAGATTCCGAGCCAGCAACACCATTAAATGTGAAGAGCGGCCGTCATCTTTTGCAGAGCGCAATGTAAAATTAGGGGTTTCACTGTAGGACTCTGTCATTTGAAATAGTAATCAGTCCATAATACTATATATTGCTGAAGTTAAAATGATGCTTCCCCCATTCATAAAATAGTGAATAACACTGAAATTATGTTAGTTAGATTTTACCCTATTTTTTCAATAGATAAAGTCAGGAATACCCCCAGATCCTTTTACCTAAGTGTACATAATATCAGTATGTCTTTTCTTCTTTCCCTACTGAAGTGCTATGACATTACAGTCTCAGGAGAAATTTTCCTTAACAATAGTTCTGCATTTGCCATGAGCTCTTGCGGCATTTGGGAAGGATTTTCACCTTCTACTTGCACAGGTGTTGAAATAGAAAATACCTTATGACGAGAATACACATTGTTATTTTACACACAGACATATGGACAAAAATATATATGACGCCAGAATAAACATTAAAGGCAACATGAAAGTATACGGATTGCTCCCTGAAAATACGACATTTGACATTTGCTCAATTTATTATAAATGTTTACTGAGGATCAACTATGTGACAGGAAGTATGTCAGAATCTGTAGGGAACAAGAAAAACAAAAAAGCCATGTCTTGGTCATCAGGGGAATTACAATGTAGTAAGAAATGCAGCAGGTAGACTAGAACATGTAATTTGATTGATTAGTCTATGATGACCTTAGCATTGTGTCAGGCTATTGGGATCAAGAACAGTTGTAACTTTATTTCTGAGTATCTGGAGCTGGTATAATGTTTGCTTCTCTCATTTGCTTCAATTCTTTACCTATACCCACACATGTTTTCCATTTCCTGTGTTTTTTTTTAAAGAAATCTTATTGATATAAGTAGTCTTAACAGCTGTAATTTTGTGTGTGTTTTTACTGTAAAATAAAAATGGGCAGGAAGTGCTGAAGAGGTATCAAGAGGTATCAAGTCCCATTTCTCATCACCCACTGCCTTTGTCACTTGTAATCTACTTAGACTTCTGTCCTCCTCATCTTTACACAGAGGAAATGACCTCATCCAACACTATAATTCTGTTATTCCATCCTAGTGGAAGATGGGTAGCTTTTAAGGAAAAGGTATGGCTATGGCGGGCTTGTCCACCTGCGGTTTAAATGAAATACAAGACAATTACCAGCTAACAAGCTCTAAGTCTTAACCTCTGCATTCGTGTTGAATCAATGTTTGGTTATACCTGCCCCATGATTTTATACCTTCAGCTCTCTTATCATGTTAATGCCCCCAAGACTGTAGAGGAAAATTGCAACAGAATAGTATGTGTATGTTGAGAATGCTGTTCTAGCAGCTGTTCAAATGCTTCTTACATGTGATCCAAGAAAAAAAAAGAGAATGTCTTTCCCCTTAAACAACATTGCATAATCTGATATTTCTGTGTACCTTTTAAAGTAGCACTTAAGCAATCTGATGAGCTTTCATTGATTTATACACCTGTGAAGTCACAAGAATCAAGCTGCAGAGAATTTCCATTCATACAAAAGTTTCTTGTGTCACTGTGACTCTTGCCTCCACACCTGGCCTTCAGACAGGCCTTCAGATATGCATTCTGTCACTACAGGTTAATTTACATTTTATAAAATGTCATATAAATGGAATTATGCAGTATGGATTTTATGTCTGGCTTTTTCATTTTGCATACTGACTTTCTGATTCATACATACTGTTGCATACATCAGTAGATTTTTTATTGCTGTGTAGTATTTCACTATATAAATAAGCAAAAGTTTGTTCATCTGTTCACCTGTGAATGAATACTTGGGTACTTTCCATTTGGGAACCGTTATAAGTAAAGCTGTATGAACATTCATGTGCAAGCCTTAACGTAGGCATAGGTGTTTCTCTCAGGTAAACGGCTCAAAGTGCTGGATCATATGGTAGAGGTATGTTGTATAAGAAAAAACCCCACAGTTTTCCAAAGTGGCTGTAACATTTGATGCTTTCTCCTGCAATGTTGGAGAATTCCAGTTGCTGGATATCTTCGCCAACATTTTGTGTATTGCCAGTCTTTTCAATGTTAACCATTCCAGTGGGTATGTAGTATTAACTCACTGTGGTTTTAATAAATCTTCCCTGAAATTGAATGATGTGGGGCATATTTTCATGTACACATTGGCTTATGGTAAAGTATCTGTTCTAATATTTTGTCCAATTTTTATTGGGCTCCATGTGTCATTTTAATATTGAGTTGTAGGAGTTTTATTTTCTCCTGGATAGACACCTCTTTTCAGATATGAGTGTGGAAAACCTTTCCTCCCAGTACGTGACTTTCCTATTATTTTTAATGGTGTCTTTTCAAAGCACAACATTTTTTCATTTGAATTAATCCAAATTACCAATATACCACATACCAGCATAAAAATTTATTTCATGGTTCATACTTTTTTGTGTGGACAAAGTGGAAATGCTAAGATTTTTCTCCTAAGTGCTTCTCTATAAATTTTATAATTTCTGTGTTCACTCACAGTTCTATGGTGCATTTTGAGCTAATGTTTATGTTTAGTATGAAATAAAAACCAGGGTTCAATTTTTTTTTGTCACATGGAGAGCCAGTTGCTTCAGCACCATTACTAAAAAGACTATTCTTTACCCTCATTTAATTACCTTAGTTTATTTGTCAAAAATCACTTGACAGTAGATGTGTTGGTCATTTT